TAAATAAGTCTCAAACCCGAGAAATTAGGGTTTCATTACACAGCGCTGACTCGCCGAGTCCATATCCTGGACTCGTCCAGTCCAGGCGCGATACTGCGTCCAAATCCGCATCCCTACTCGGCGAGTCTGAGCTCCAACTCGCCGAGTCCCCCTCACAAATCAACAAAATACAATAAACAAGATACCTGATAAAAATCCGGCTGTTACATGTAGCTAGCAATTTAGGTGTGGGATTGTCATTCCTGATAGATCTATTCACAAATCTCACACTCTCCATCGAGGATACTCTGGTTACACTAAGGATAGAATTTAGCATGCATCCTAGAGGGTACAAATAAAGTGATGTCTCACAACCCTGTATTAATTAGTTTAGGTGTAGTTCTATATTATTCTATTGTATTTGAATCTGTTTGTAAACCTTGAAGAGTAATAATTATACTTAAATAATTATTTAGGAATCCATTCTTGTTATCTAAGAATATCATTAAATATCATAAACTAAGTCTATTATAGTTTATATGCTTGTAAATGTAAAACTGTGTATGGAAATCCCAAACTATAACGATTGTAGTTGGCATGCATGTTATGTACTTGATTTGTGTGTTGATCTAAAAATTATGCAATTATGCTTGTAAGATGAAAATTTCCCTTATGCTCAACATGTTAGAAAAAGGGATAAAATATCTCAAATGCTTTATAAAAACATTCAATCTTTTAGTTGTATCAATTGCATAATTCTTAATCTTACAGAAGTTTTGTGTATAATGTTCACAAAAACTATTTGCATTTGGCTTGTATTCCCTCCCTTAAAACGTTAAAGTAATAAAAGTGTAGGGGTATGAACTCACTGATGATTGCGTGAATGTGCTGGACAACGAGACTGGAATTGAGGACCCTCGAGTTGTACACGAAGTTAACGGAATCCTAAAAATAATTAAACACATATTTGTATCTAAAATTAGCGATTTCATTAGATAATGTGCTATAAAAAAACTTGCTTATGATTAAGGAATGTTACCGAGTCTCGGTCGAAGTGGAAAAGTGAGTTTACAGCCAACATTCACGGTGTAGGGCTGATTACGGCTATGAACTGTTCTCAACCGTGAACTATTCTCGGTCGGGAATAGTTTACTACCTTTGAAGGGTTTACGGTCTTTGAAGGTTTCAAGGGTTCACGACCTGGTCTTGGTGAATATGAAGATTTGAAGGGTTCACAACCGTGAACTCAAGAACATCACCATTTGAATCGCCGAAAAAGCTGGTGTTTGATGCCCCAAAACGTGTTTTAAAGTGGATGGAGTGATAGATGAAGAGAAAACTTGAGAAATCTTAGGTTTTTGGGTGAGGGTTTTTAGAGAGAGAAAGTGTGTTTGCTGCCAGAAAATGATAAATAAGGGTAGGAGTCATGTATTTATAGTTTGGGGGTATGGTCGGTTGTGGTATCCACCAACCATGAATGTGTTCACGGCCATGATCGGGTTTACGGCCGTGATCAGGTTCACGGCTGTGAACACCGGTCAGACCGGATTTGTTGATTTTTCGAGGGACTCGGGTTTTGTGCGATTTTGGTTCCGACTCATATATATATAAAATTCAATTATATAACTTAAAAGATTTCCAAACCATAAGGATTTGATGAAACTAATAAAATAAAAAATTTATTAACGTTAACGGAAAAAGGGTCAGCTTGTCACATCTCGTCTCTATCCGATGCTCCCTCCACCATCGATATTGTAAACCATCGAGAGTCGAGCATCACCACCGCGGTCATCTACCAACGATGAAATGAAGTGCTGATTGACGACGAGCTGAGGGTTGCTGGAAGATGGAAGCTCGTGGCCATCGTTCCTCCCTCCAGTAAAGGCACCCCCACCCTCTCCATTTCCTCTTTTGTGGTGTTGTCTCGCGCCGCCGCCGCTCCGATCGATGGCCTAATTAATCTGGCTAGCATATACCACTGAAAATGAATGGTTGTGTGGTGTATGCTCCATGTGTGCGTAGCTTCTGCAGCTATCTCTCTCTCTCTCTCTCTCTCTCTCTCTCTCTCTCTCTTCTCCCTTCTTTTTGAAGGTTGTAGCTTTCTGACCACCATCACCGCAATGTGGTTACCATCATAAACCACTACATGCTTCCATAAAATTATCGATATGTTGCGTTTTTCGTGTTTAACTCGGGTTGTGTGTGTTATGCAGTGTTTCTATAAGATGAGAGGTGTATGTGAGTGGCTTTATTTGTCTGGAAAAGCCACCACCACCATCGTGAGGTGGTAGTTACCACCATTAACCACTGTCGGCCACCACTAGGGTGGTTGAGTGTGTATGTGTTTAGCTTAGTGTATGTGTCTATTATTGGAATTTTGCATTGTATGTTGTAATTTGTAACGATATAATCAAAGAAAAACTTAAACCACCACCGTGAAGGGGTGGCTAATGCCTCCTGCTGTCACCAACCGCCGTGTTGGATGACGGTGTGCTTTTGCTTGCATTTAGTTGCTTTTTGGATGCTTGAAAAAAAATGAACTAGGAGCCATAACTACTACCGTGAGGTGGTGGCAGCCGCCGTGAGCCGCCGTTGACCACGACTACCTCAGGTGGTAGTGGGTGGTGCCTAACTAGTGAAACCCTAATAAGACTAATGAAAACCTAATGGATCTAAGGTTCTTCCTTTGGGGCCTATTGGGTTGGGATTGGGTTGGAAACCCTAATTAGGGTTTAGAAAACCCTAATTTTGGAATTATAGGCTTGGACTTCTCGGGACCCGCTTTTTGGGCCACTGGAATTGGATTATGTATTAAACCCGACCAAACCATATGAATTTTCGAGTAGAGTCATAGATTTAATGGATTATGTCCTTAATGGGTTAAGTGAGAAACACTTAACCATAATCATCATTTTATGTGAAAACCCTAGTTTGACTTAGACCTTAAGTTGGGCCTTTCTATTGGAGTTTGGTGATTAGGATACTGATGGGTCATCAAAGAACAATTATACATACTAGAATATTTTGATGGGCTTTAGGGTAAGGCACATGTGAGGGGCTTTGGCCTAATTTGGAAAATTAGGTCATAAATGGGCCGTAATTCGGCCTTTATGATTATGAGATATTGGGGCATTAGAAATGCAAAATGCTTTGGACTTGACTAAATGGTTGGGCCTTTGGGTAAGACCATGTAAAGGTTTGGGCCCAATTTGGAAAATTAGGCTATATATGTTGGGCTTTGATTCATAGTTTGACCTTTCAGCCTTTGGATTGGGCCTTAAGTTTGAATCAAGCTAAGATGGGAATAAAGTAGTCTTTTACCCCAAGCATGGACTTATGGATATGTATTTGAATCCTACTATTAATTGGGTATTGTTTTGATGTTGATAGTTCGGGAATCTGTCATCCAACAGTCTGGGAATTACCGGTTAGCAATCAATGGAGTATCAGGAGGACTTCAACAGTGCAGGGTGAGTCTCCTCACTGTTTGTATGCGTCTAAGTGTAACAACTCGTTATTTCAAATCAATGTATTACTACAGATTTTCTTGTAACTAGTTCTTTTTAAAGTAATAAAGAGAAATTTTTTGTATACTATATGCATTTACATATTGACCCACAAAAATAAAAAATTAAAAAAACTTGCCTGGGATAAACATAGTGGTAGAAATCGTGTCAAGGATTCCAAAAATATAAAGAACGTCCAATTCCGAGTTATAACGAAGAAGTTATGACCTATCGAAAATTCGCGACAAAACCGGCAAAACATTCTAAATGAAAGTCCAATTGAGTTTTCAATAAATTCCTTTCTAGCCTTAACTATCTAAATGAAAGTTGTAGAATACGTTAACCTGTGAATGTCTGTAAAAAAAAACGTCGAAATCTAACTTCATATGAAGAAGTGATTTTTTTAAGAATCGACATAACAGTACACAACCCGAAATTTGAAATAAAAATCGAACAATATTTAGCCGACACAACCTAAACGAGAATCGCAAGTCTCGTCAAATATAATACAACGGTAAAAAGACAGATGGAAACGGACTTCGGATAAAGAAGTTATGAATTTTTAACGGATTTTCCTGTCTCGATATGCTAAAACCAATAATATTAGAAAATAAATTCAAAAGTAGCCGATGAAGTCTATATGGGAGTTGTAGATTATATTTTCACCTACGCGTGCATATAAAGAACGTTAAAAACGGAGCTCGCATGCGAAAGTTATGAATTTCAGAAGTTTTTGGCTCAAAAAATGAGAAATAATTGAAAACCGGGAAAATTCGCATGAACAGTAACCGCCACGTCACCTCGCACCCGCATCCACCTAATGTCCACCTCGTGTTAGCCACTGATTCATCCGAAGCCGAGGTCCAATGGGAGACCGACGCGCCTCGCACCGGTGCACTTCCGAGCTCGCACGCGTGTGCAGCCCCCTGTCTGACGCGTGCCCCCTTCGCGCGCATGCAATCCGACGCTTGGACTCCCCCTCTCTTCTGATCCAAATCCTATTGCCCCTATATAAAGGGTACGAGATTTCCCAGTTTTGGCATAACTTTCACACTTTTTCACACTTTCTACGCCCACAAACTTATTTACAACCCGCTCCACCCCGAGCCACGGTATCATATTCAACACTTAAAACACTTCCCGAGATGCAAGAAGTCAACAAAAATAGAGTCTTTCAGTTTGCAAATACGAACCCTCGCAAGGCCAAATTTTCAGAAATAAAGCCTTTTTAGCAACGAAGTGCTACTCAATTCTTCACGACTATCAAGTGAGTTTATACCCCTATATATTCACTATTTTAATAATGTTTTTATTGGGAAAATACCAGTAAAATACGAAGATTTCTCGTATAAATAACACATTTTTATTATCTAGTTTGTGATTATTATAAACAAACTATTTTACCGGTTTGGAATTTATTATAACAATAAACATATAAATTATAATATGTGTAATTTATAATTCATACATAATTATCAACTACAAAGGTGACCCGCGTTGCGGGGGTCGGAAGGTGTCGCTTTTGTGTGGAAGTATAGTACATTGTTCTAATTGGTAGATTAGTAAAGTATGTTGCTATTGTGTATATTTCGCCCATTTACAAACACACAAATATTTGCACTATGCTATAATAGAATGACCCCTTTTTTGTAATCAAAGTTGTTGTCTGGTTATGTGAGGCATATAATCAGACCAAGGCCACCATTCCCAACTCAAGAGCTTACATCCTTCAATATCAACCCATTTGCCTGATTAGAAAGACACTCAATAAATTTAGCAACTGAATATGTCAAATCTTCAGCTGGTCTTATAAGTAATTGCACCTCCTAACTTAGTGAACCTACATTTTCTAAATTAAATCAAGCAATAAATTTGCAATAGTTAATTCATAACCCGAAAAAAAAAACAAATGTTCCTAACCTTATTTGAATTGGGAATAAAAATTATTTTGTCATTAACGGTTATTGACTTTAACCAACCTGGAGTAAATAATGACAACTGCAATGCAAATCAAGAGTGTAATCAAATAACTATTTTAAATTTGCAAACACCTTTAGCATCAAAATACCCATCAACTAACACACACACACAAAAAATACAATAATTTCAAGATGAATCAACAGCCATTTCATTGTCACCTTTTTCCAATTCCATTCCCATAACACCATCCTTCTCATTCTTCTCCACTTTCTCAATCTTTAATCTCTACCACATAAGTTCATTCAATATTAGTGTTTGACTTTCACTGATGTCATTGAAAAAAAAAGTATTTTATAAAAAGGAAAATAAAATAAACTGAAAAAAGAAGAAAATCAAAACCTTAGTTTGTATAGAATAATCGTTAGCCATTTGGGCAAACATATTTGTATAAAGTTTAGTATCTCTTTTGTTACTCTGAGCTTCAAGTTGCTTTAAAGTCTTGTGAATAGAATTTACCTCCCTACAAAATAACAAAACCAAAATAAAATTACAGAGGTTTAATAAAATGACCAAAATGACCTCCAAATTTTATAGTTTTACTTGATTTGTGGATCGGCTTCCAAGGCCTTCTTGATGTCCAATTCAGTCAATTCATAATCATAAGTTTCCATGTAAGCTTGTGCCCTTCTGTATAAAGCTTTCACATTGTAAAACTCAACATCCAACACCTGTTGGAAACAACCTTGTATAATGGTTTAAAACTTGGGATTTTTTAAAAAAAGTATAATGGTTTTATGATTGATTACCTTTGAACATAAGATGATTGCATTTTTTGTTATCATCTCTAATCTGTTTGTAGTTTTTTTTAAGTTGAAATTTTGTTTTCATTTTTCATTGGTCTGATCTCAATCATCGAAAACCTGGATATATGGTTTATTTTTCTACCCCTCTCTGTACATATCACATGCATTTTGACTTTGTATATGTTGTTCCCAAATTACCCCTGGATGGATAAGTTGTTGCTGTTATCCCTACGTTTTCTGTTTTTGTTTCGATTTGAATAGATCGACACGTTTGTTATCCTTATTTTCTTATAATTTCGTATAATTTCCATCTATATGTAATTTCCTTTATCTGTCCCACTAAAAATGATAAATTATCTTTTTTATTGCAGCTAAAGATTAATAAAATAAAATAGTACTTAAAATCCAGACCTATATGAACTTTGGAAGTGGAATGCCATGTCGAGAAAAATGAACTTTTTGAAGAAATTTATCATGTGACAAACAACTTTCACTATGATCATTGTGTTACCATAATCCAACATTAAACATTATTTAAAGGGGCGGTATTGGAAATATTTAACAAAACAAATTACAATGCTTTATTGATAAAACAAACATACCTGGATAATGCGAATGGTAGAAGCTTTAGGCTGACAATCAACACCTTGTTTTTCAAGCTTCTCCAAAGTATCAACATCAACATGCTCAATTTCATCTGTTAGTATTCCACACCTATGTAGAAATCTTGAGTTAGATTGGGACACGTTGACCAAAATAGGATCGCTAATTGTGACTTTAACCTCTTAGCAAATTCTTCAACTGTGGTGCTATTGTCATAGCTTCCCACCATATGATGGTGGTATATGGAACTTGCTGGGCAGTTGACCATAGGATCCAAAATGTTGACTTTTATTGACATTTGGAAAGCTGCTTAACA